GGATTATGATTCCGCTGCTCTAACCGACTGAGCTACGCCGCCGGAGAGAGGCCTGAGGCTTGAGACCGCAGGCTTGAGGCTCACAAAATTGGCTCAAGTCTGAGGACTTACGCCTCAAGCCTCACTCATCTTCAAAATCAAACCATCTTCCAAATCAAACGCAGTACACCCCGCAGGATTCGAACCTGCAACCTTCGGATTCGTAGTCCGATGCTCTATCCAGTTGAGCTAGGGGTGCTCCGTACGCCGCCTATCGGCGTCGCGTCCCTCGCTTCGCTAGGCGAACCTAGCTGAGTGAGGGAATCGCAGATTATGGCGGCTAGGCCGCTATGCCGCAAGCGGCTGAAATCTCAGTTAAACCAGCCCTCCCAGTTTCGCTAATCCGAGCGGTTCACGCGTCGCGATCGGTTCGCCGTAGGCCGTGCCGATCGATTTGCCCCAGTAGGCCGCCTCGTCGCGGAGCCGGTCATAGAACGTCGGTGAAGTCGTTGGCCTGCCCGTGACGAATTGGCTCTCATAGCAGCGGATCGACTCGATTTTCTTTTCCCACACATCGCTGATATCCACGACGAACGCAGGCTGCGGCGCCAGCTTGAGGTGAACGCAGTAGTAGTAATAGACCCGCGACGGGTGGTGGGGTTCGCCCGCTAGGGCCATTTGCCCCGGTTCGTCAGTCTTGGTGAGCTTCGACCAGAAGCGGGCGTCTTCGACGAGCTTGGTCGCGGCCGTGTGGTCCGGGTGGGCGTCCTCCCAGTACGGCGCGAACAGCCACTTGGGCTTCACACGGCGGAACACGGCGGCGAGCTTCGCGCGGTTCTCGAGCGTCGCTTCGAGCGACCGGTTCGGCAGGCCGAGGTTCTCACGCCATTCGAGGCCGAGCACCTTGGTGGCGGCTGCTGTCTCCCGGGCGCGGGTCTCTAGCGACCCTTGCGGCGTCGGCTCGCCCGAAGTGAGGTCGAGCACGCCGACACGCTTACCCTCTTGTTGCAGCTTAAGGATGACGCCCGCGGCGCCCAGTTCGGCGTCGTCGGGATGCGGGGCGATGACGAGGGCGTCGAGCATCGGGGGAGGGGCCAGGGGCTGAGGGGCGAGGGGCTAGGGACGCATCGGCGTGTGTCCTAATCTAACAAGTCGTCGATCAATCGACTGTGGGAGGGGTCTCCAGACCCCGATTACGGTATCCATTCCGAAACGGCGTGGTGCGCGTAATCGACGTCTGGAGACCCCTCCCACAACTTATTGCATCCCACAGCCATGCCTTCGGCACGTCGCAATCACTTACTCCTCATCCGTGAAATCCGTGTGATCCGTGGTTCTCCTCTTCGCGTCATGCACCAGCGGCGCCAGGTACGCAAACGCCTCCGCGGCTGCGGCGTCGGGCGAGTCGCCGTAGGGATAGAGCTCGACGGTGAGCCAGCCGTCGTAACCTGTCGCGGCGATCGTGTCGATCGTCGCTCGCAGATCGATGGCGCCGTGGCCGGGGATCAGGTGCTTGTGGACGCGCGTTGCGGCGATGTCTTCGAGGTGGTAGTGCACCGTGTGCGGCGCCATCCGCACGACCCAGTCCTGCGGGTCTTCGCCGACGCAGTACGCGTGCCCCACATCGAAGTTCAGGCCGACGCGCGGCGAGTCGAGCGACTCGACGAACTCTAAATACTCACTGAATCTTTCGATCGTGAGTTCGGGTTCCGGTTCGATCAACAAGCCGACGCCGATCGCCTCGGCCATCTCGACGCACGGCAGCAGCTCTTCGCGGAAGAGGCGCAGCGCGTCGGCGCGGGACTGGCCTTCGAACGCCGGTCCGCCGGGCTCGGTCGTGATGTGCGGGGCGCCGAGGTCCTGGGCGAGCCGCAACGAGCGCTTCGTGTGTTCGCGGCGGATCGTGCGGTAGTGCGGGTCGGGGTCGGTCCAGCTCGGGTGCCAGTACGGCTGCCGCGGGTCGGCGACGGCGTTCATCATGAACGCATTGACGTTCGAGATCGTGAGCCGGTTGTCTTCGAGGGAACGCCGGATCTCCTCCTTCTGCACTTCGAGCAGCCCGGCCGGCCAAGCGTGCGGCACGTCGGCGAGCAGCTCGACGCCCGCATAACCCGCCGCCGCGATACGGCGCAGCGCCTCGTCGATCGGGAAGGAGAGATAGGCGTTGGCGCTGAAGGCGAGTTTCACGGCGGCTCCTGAGGTGGCAGAGGACGATTGTCGCCAGCAACCCGTGCGCCGGACAGGGCTACCCGCTATCGGACGCTCAGAGTGGGCGCTCGGCGATGACGACGATCGGCTTGCCGCGGTGGTCGGGGAAGATGAGGAGCGTCGCGGAGGCGTCGCCTTGGGGCTTGAGCTCTCGCCGCAGCGCTTCGGGTCGGACATCGACGCCACGGCATTTGATCTCAAGCGTCCCGACGTTGTGCTCCCGAATCCAACTCGCCAGCCGCTTGCGGCTTAGCGGCGCCACTTCAACGACCCGGAACGAAGCCACCAACGGATCATCGATCGCCGAATCGCTCGTGAAGTAGGCCACCCGTGTCGCGCAGCGCGACAATGCGTGTCGCGCGGCGAGCGCACTGTCGAGGCCCGCGGCGAGGATGGCGGGGTCGAAGTCGTGGATGTAGGCGCCGAGTTGGCCTGCTAAGCCACAGGCGGCGTTGGAATCGCCAAGGAACGTCGCTGCCGTTCCGTCGCCATGAACTTTGGTGGCGCGGCGCTGACCCGGATCGTGGGCGAGGGGGCCGGCCCAGGCGACGAGCTGGCGGCACTCCCCGCCGCGGCTGATCCATTCGAGTTCGCACTCGGCCTGCCAGTCGTCGGGGAGCTGGGCGGCGGGGGCGAGTTTCACGGCGGCGGCGGGGGTCCGTCGGCGCCAAGCGGCGAGCGTCGCCAGCGTCGGTTCGTGGAGGTCGGGTTGCGACGACCGCCGGCCGCCGACGCGGCGGTCGGGGTCGGCGTGCCAGGCGTCGCACTCGGGCA